CAAGATGGACTCTATTCCCCATTGTTTGAAAAGTCACTATTCAGAAGGTTTCTTTCCGTTTCTGCCCTGGAAGATGAACAGCTGTGGGAATGAACCTCCCACCATAAACCCAGAAACCTGGGAAAGACAGAGAGAAGAGTATCAGGCACCGGACAACCCAGGACACAGGACTGCAGTCCCAGAGCACTGCAGAGGTGGCCCCGAGTTGCCTGCAGCCAGTTCCCAAACTGCAGGGCAGAAGCAGGCGGGGGGTGGGGGGAGCAAGCTGCTCTGTGGCAAGGCCCAGCGACAGGTCAATGGTGCGCTCCTGGTGGCCGAGGCAACTGTCATGTGCGGGCAGAGTCCTCTCAAGTCTGCGCTGAGAACTGATCTGGACACATGCCGCAGAAACCCGAGGCGGGGAAATCACTGGAAAGCAGCAGAGCTGATGATGCGCAGCCTCATGGAAGCCAGGGCCAGCACTGAGGAGGGACGGGTGGCCTGCAGGTGGCCAGGTCAGCCCTGGGATGGAGGCTCTGCGGTCTCCTGGCAAAGCTCAGCAGCAAGTGCCTACAGGGCCCAGCTGACCTGACCCAGCTGAAAAAACACTCCATCGCCAAGGAACATTCACAACCCCTGTATCCACTCAAAAAATCTCAGTGTTAAAGATGCAGGAAAATGATCCATAGCCAAGAGAAAAGCCAATCAACAGAAAGAGACCCAGAAATGACTGTGACAATGACAGTAAACATCCCTGATATACTGAAGGGTATAAAAGAAAACACTAGCATAACAAGAAGAGAAATGGAAGAAAGAATATTAAAATGGAAGGTCTAGCTGGGCGTGGCAGCACACAGTGCTAATCCCAGCTATGTGGGAGGCTGGAGCAGGAGGATCTCAAATCCAAGGACGGCCTACACAGTGTAACAAAATCCTGGCTCAAAAGAAAAAATGCAAAGGGCTGGAGATGTAGCTTAGCACTTCCTGAGTTTAATCTCCTGTACCACAAGACAAAATAAAACAAAACAGAAAGGAAATTTCTACACATGGAAAACACTGAACATCTAAGACAGACTAAAAGCTCAAGAAGTATTGATCAGTGATTCTGAAGCCACATCAATAGAAACTGAAAATGAAACCTACTAAGCAAGCCAGGGGTGAAGGACACAAAAGCCTTCGTGAGTCTGCACAAGGTCTAGCTGTCTAGTATGTGACTAGTGTGCTGAGAGAAAGAAAGGGAAGGACAGAAAGATGTTTGGAAACATACTGGAAGACAATTTCCCAAATCTGATGAAAACTACAGCTAAGCTAGGTAAAACCTAGTCAAAAGGACAGGGCACCTGAAAATCTAACTCATACCAACAACCAGAAAGGAGCAGAATATCTTAAAAGTGGCTAGAGGGAAGGGAGGCAAAGATGGGTGCAGCAGACCACCCTCAACTGCCAGGCAGCCCGTATCCCCACTTCTGTGGAGGTGGTGCCCTTTTCCCAGGTGAGGCTGTCATGGCACAGGCTGGCTCTGGGCACCTCCACACCAGAGTCCAGCTTGAGAGTGGGCTGGACACTGTCCCCACAGTCAGAAAGCCTGCCAAATGTCTCCTGCCAGCCCAACAGCCAGTAGACAGCAGTCCCGCCCTCACAGAGCCACAAGATGCTGCCATAGCCCTGGACACCCACAGCTGAGGCCATGATGCTGCCACAGGTGCCAGCAGTGAGGGTACCACTGAAGGAACTTTGGGACCACACCGCCACAGTCATCCTGATCCAAAGCCCACACGCCCAATATCCACCCCCAGAGGACTCTCCATACAGGGAAAGCCTCCAAAAAACTGGAAGAGATGACCGGAATGCACAGAAACCAGTACAGGGACACAAGAAACAGGACATTGCACGGGACACAGGAAGTCTCCAGGAACGGACTTAAGAAATTTCCCGATGACGTGCCTGAAAAAGAATTCACAGTCATGATCTCAAACAACCTCAGCGAGAAACAGGAGAACAGAAAAATATCTCAATGGCAATGGGAAAGCAACTCATGAGCTGAAAAAGAAATTCAACACAGGGAGATACAGAGAGAACCAGAAACCTGCAGTTGGGAAACTCCATCAATGATATAAAAATAGAGTTGAGTGCCAAAGCAGGAGACGAAATACACAGAAGGAAGAACTTGTGAACTGGAAGACAGGTCTTTTGAATTAACCAGAAGGAAGAAAGGAAAAAGACTGAAAAGAACAAAAAAAGCTTCTTAAGAGACACCATGAGGAAAGAAGGCTCTCACTCTGGGAGTCTCATGGCAGAGCCAGAGTCACAGCAGAGGAAACCCATTCAAAGGCAAAAACTGTCAAAACAGACAAGCTCAGTATAAACTGAGAAGAGAGCCGGGGTGGGGGGGGGGGTGGCGCACGCCTGTAATCCCAGTGTTTGGGGGGCTGAGGGAGGAGGATCCTTGTCAGTTCAAGGCCAGCCTGGGCTGCATAAGCAAGTCCAAGGCAGTCTAGACTACACAACCAGACCCTACCTCAAAAACAGAAACAAAAACAAAAACAAAAGGATTGATTCAGCCAGAAGATATAGATTTTTTTTTGTCTTTTTCTTTTTTATCGGTACTGGGGATCGAACTCACGACCACACACTTGCAAGGCAGGTGCTTATGCTGCTGAGCTAAATCCCCAGCCCCTAAAGATATAGATTTTAAACATACACATACCTACACACACACACACACACACACACACACACACACACACACACAATATCAAAGTGTGCTTCACGCAGTGTCACAGTGTGATAACAATGCCTGAGTACCACAAAATACAAAGTGGCTGGGCATTTAGCTCAGTGGCATAAGTGCCTGCCTGGGAAGTGTGAGGTCATGAGTTCCATCCCTGGTACCAAAAAAAAAAAAAAAAAAAAAAAAAGCAAACATTACTGGCCTGGAGGGCCAGGCTGGAGCCTGAGTTAAATCCCACTTGGCAGAGCTCTGGGAGAAAAAAGGGGTGGGGCAGAAAGCAGGGAGGAAAGCTAGGGGAATGGGGGAGGGTGCTGGGTGAGCCAAGGGGAGGCTGGTAACTACCTCCAGCCGCTGACTCTGGAGCGCGGGTCTCTGGAGGAGAAGTGAACCGATGTGAAGCCATGCAGCCTTGTCTACTGGGGCCGGGGACCAGATGGCTCTTCCCAGAGGACCGCTTAGCAGGGTGCAGCTGCCTGCTCTGAAGGCATGGGCTTTCAGTCACCTATTCAAGCCCTCCTGAGCACCGGCCCCAGGGTGCCTCAGAGCAGGGATGCTCACGCACACTGCGACAGACATAAGCAGGGCTGGGGGCCTCAGAAGCACCGAAGCTTGGTTATTCTGATTTTGCCGACACTCAGCAACTGTCATCTCACCCCGCTGAGTGGAGACTCAAACCCACACTGCGGGCCCCTTCCACCGAATCCTTCTCTGCCTACTGGGCCTTCCCTACCTCGGCTGCTGGAGGTTTCGTGACTGGTCTGGAGCGCTCTGCTCTGCTTCCTGTTCCCGCTGCTTCACCCGGTCCCTAACCCTAACCCTCTCAACCCCAAGGCCTGATATGGCCAGCAAGGCTCCATGCCAGGGAGGAGTAGCAGGCCAGAGGATGCCTGCGGCTCAGACCCCTCTCCAGAGAACAGTGATGACCATGCAGGGTGGGTTCCTCATGAGTAACAACTGAGGTCTAAAGCACCTAAGCCTGGAACCATTCCCACCTGAGTCTGGTTAGGACACTGAGCTGAAGGTCCTGACCAGTCTCCATGTCACCCTGAGCAGAAGCAGAATGCTGCCGCTATTTAACAGCCTGAGACCTAAATGTCACAGGAGACACAGACCGACTTATCTGCATTTGCAGCATCCATTTCCTTCTAGCTGACGCTTCCAAATGACTGCTGGACAGGACCCAGTGTGACAAGCCCTCGCTGCACCGAGGCCAGTGAAGGGTTTTGAAGAACAAGGCAGACAGACCAGAAGGTGACACGATGGGTATGAAGCCTAAATCAGTGTCACTCTGGCCTAGACACCAGGTGTTCAGCCTGGACAGGTTACCTCGCCTTCCAAAGCGCCTGCTCTTGTATAAAACTGGAGTCATGCTCAAGCTTTGGGTGTCACGCAGGACTTCAGTAAGGGCTCTATGTGACCCTGGACCATACACAGTTCTCTAATGTGAGGGAAGAGATGCCGGAACTGTGTGTGTTTCACTTGCTGTCTCCAACACATTCGAGCCCAACAGGCTGGGGAGGAATCCCAGCTGACAACCGGGACATCAGGGGCTCTCTGAACAGGGCCTAGTTTTCCGAAGGCCAGGAAAGGCTGATTGGTCAGAGCTGGCATTTTTGGTCTCTAATTTTTTCTTTTCTTTTTTGTCTTTTTGAGACAGGGTTTCACTGTGCAGTTCAGGTTGGCCTTGAATCTGAAGCAATCCTTCTGCTTCAGCCTCCTGAGTGCTGGAAGCTACCATACCTGACTGTTATTGGTCTCTAATTTTCAAGGACGATTATTTTCCAGCTCAGTCTTATTTTGGGGGAAAGAGGGAACACAGACAAGACTTAGACTTGTGTCTCCCCAAACAGGAGAAAACGTTTTCTCCCCTCCAAAGCAACATGGTATGCAAATAACAAAAAGCACATCTTTTTCAAAGAAGTCACATAAAGAAAAATTTTAAAAACCATAATTCTACTCTTCATTAAATTATAACTAACATTGCATGTCTTGCTAGAACAAAAACTAGACATTTACAAAAAACACCAAGCAGTAACTCAGGCAGAGAATATGAATTCCACACAGCTGTGATTTTTTTGTTTTGTTTTGAGACAGGGTCTCACTATGTAATAAAGGCTGGCTTTGAACTCACTCTGTAGCCCAGGCTGGCCTTGAACTTGCAGTGATCCTCCTGTCTCAGCCTCTTAAATGCTGGGGTTACAGGCAAGTGCCACCATACGCAGCTACAACAGTGTCTTATTAGTGACTTATTAAGAAAGCTATAAAGTTAAAAAAAAAAGGAGAAATTCACCTCTATAGCAAAGATTCCTTTGTCACGTCCATACAATTTCATCTCTTCTGGGAAATTCTGAAAAGCCTTTATGTAAGGAATATGATCCTCTTCGACAAATCTGTATTTTTAAAAAAGAAAAGGCTTCAATCAGAGGTCTGTATTGATTTTGCAAACTCTGAAAAATCTTACTTCAGAGGGAAAATTTAAAAAAACTTTGTTTTTTAAAAAAAGGGTGTTGAAGGGAGGATAGGGAGATAGAGAAAAAAATGAATCAAATTATGTCATGTTCAGTACAAACTGACTGTATAAATCAATCATTATGAATAGCTAAAATGTACCAATAAACTTAAGTTTAAAAAAACCAAAGGGAAAGAATTAGTTAAGCAAACTCTCTCTCTTTTTTTTTTTGGTACCAGGGTCAAACTTGAGACTTTATGCTTACCAGACAGGTGCTTATGCTGCTGAGCCAAATCCCCGGCCCTAGTTGAGCAAATTCTGTACTCACTCCTCAGCCCCCGTGTGTGGGATTGACCCAAGGTTTTCTGCATTCTAGGCAGGCATTACCACTGACCCACATCTCCAGTCCTTTTCACTTTGTGAGACAGGGCCTTGCCAAATTGCCCAGGCTGGCCTTGACCTTGGAATTCTCCTGCCTCAGCCTCACAAGTGGCTGGAATCGTGTGAGTACCGCTATGCCCGGCAAACAGCACATCTTTAAAGTGTGTGTATTACCACACATGAATGCTGCTTCAATCTAGGAAACACCTCAACTTGTAACTTTCCCTACAAAGAGCTGGCTGTGCCATGCTGGCAATCTCCCTCTCCTGACGCTCTCCTCCGGGCAGTGTTGCCATGTGCCCTCGATCGTACCCAGCCTGCTCCTGCTTTAGGGTTTGGCACTAGTGGTCTGTCTGCCTGGAATGCCAGGACTTCTCAGTCTCAAGGGCTGCCTCTTTCATTCAAAGTGAGCTCGACTTCTCCCTCTCCCCTCCAAAGCAACGTGGTATGCAAATAACAAAAAGCACATCTTTTTCAAAGAAGTTATGTAAGGAAAATTTTTAAAAATCATAATTCTACTCTTCATTAAATTATAAATAACATTGCATGTCTTGCTAGAACAAAAACTAGACATTTACAAAAAACACCAAGCAGTAACTCAGGCAATCCAAAACAGCCACCTTGCTGGGCGTGGGGACCCATCCCATAATCCTAGCACCTGGAAAGCCGAAGCGGGAAGACTGCTGTGAGTTTAAGGCCAACCTGGGCTAGAGAGAGACCTTATCTTAAAAAAAAAAACCCAAATTAAGTAATTAAAAAAATAAAGTGGCCCTTTAATCACGCTATTTCACGACACCCTAGGTCCCCTGCGAACTGCACTTCCTGTCTGAGCACTTTCTGGTTTGCGTATGGACCCATTTATTCCTGCTCTGGCCCAGGACTTCCTGATGGCCAGGACTCGACCCACACCTGCACCTCACAGGTCACAGTGCAGGGAGGCTTGGGGGATACTTGGGGACAGATAAGTGCTGGCTGGTTTTCTTTATAATCATTAGGGAGGCAGGGACCGTTCCAGGATGCTTGAAGGGGTTTATGAATCCATCTTAAAGACTGCGGCCACTGCAGAAAGTTTAAACAGCAGAGTAAGGCAGGGCAGACATGATTGTCCTCAGGCCTGGGGGACTCTGACCAGGCTCCAATTCCCTCCTTTAGATACTTATTTTTCTAAGTTTAGCCGTAGTTCTGAGACTTCAGGTCCCTATGAATCCCCTGGCGGCTCATAGAGATGCCACTCCTCCTCCAGGTTCCGGCTTGGTGGGTCTAGACCGGGTCTGACACCAGCTTTCCTGCCTGGCCCCTGCTGAAGCTGCTGGTCAGGAAACCACGCCCAGAGGACCGATGGCTTCGAATTCTTTCTGGCAGAAAAACAAAAAACGGGGATGAATGGTTCTGGTCTCTTTTCCTCTTCTGCCAAGCCCTAAACTCTGTTCCTAAATACATACTTCATGGAGCACAAGAAACGCCCCACTAGCAAATCCCATCTCCTAGAAAGCAGTTTTCAATTCTGGGTGTGGGGGCAGGGGTGAAGGGAGGAGAGGACTGTCCTCCCCGTACCCTGTCTCCATAGATGCTCCCCTAAGAGTACACCTCCTAGATCTCCACAGATGCCCAGGACAGCCGCAAGGTCCTTAGGGTCACCCTGGGCAGGATGGCCAGCCCTTTTACCCAGCTCCAAGGACATGAGGAGACAGATATGGTTTTAAAGATCTCTCTGGTTATCAGCAGGAAAATGGGCAGGAACCACACAAGATTGCAGACACTGAACTTGGCTGGGAAACTGTGAAGCAACATGGGTGAGGACAGAGATGTCTCAGATGCAGGAAGGGATGATTCTGAGGGTTGTTCTGGAAGGAGAGCTGACAGCACGTAATGACCAACTGTGCATGGGGGAGGAAGAAATGGAGATGTCCTGGGCTCCAGACAAGATGGAGCAGGGTACAGTGTGCACCAAGCCAGCCAGCACTGTAGGAGAAGCACGGCAGGGGGACAGATGGGACAGACAGGGCCACTTGGCAGCCCTGAGATCTCCAGATAGCACAAGGATGTCCAAGGAGTGTGTCCTGCAGGCAGGCAGCTGTAAGATAAATATTCGGGGCTAGCCCTGGGCCAACAAGTCTGGGCTGGAGACAGAAGCCAGAGTTGCTAGCGAGGATGGTAATTAGGGCCTGCGTGAGGGTGATATCACCTGATGCACACACAGTGCAGGCGGAAGCTTGAGTCAGAGGCAGGACCCCCCCCCCAAATCACGGGCTCTGTGGGCCGAGTTAATCATACTTGGGAAAGGCCTGGTTATAGGCTGATGTGGCCGAATTCAAAGGCACAACCTTCATTTACTGGAAGCCTTTCATTTAATAAAAGAGCCGGGTGCCAATAATGAACAATGATGATGATGATGATGGCAACGGTGGACTTAATAGCAATTGTGACCAGAAGGGGTTCTTTTTAATTTGAGACAGGGTCTTGCTATATTTTTTTTGTCTTTTTCCTTTTTATCGGTACCAGGGATCGAACTCACAACTGCCTGCTCACAAGACAGGCCGCTTATGCCGCTGAGCTAAATCCCCAGCCCCCCTTGCTATGTTTTGATTGGCCTTAAACTCACTGTGTAGCCTAGCGTGGCCTCAAACTCACAGGGTAATCCTCCTGCCTCAGCCTCCCGGATTACTGGCATGGATCACAGGCAAGCACCACCATGCCTGGCCGAGGACCAGGTTCTTATGATGCAGTTTTGCTGAGAGTCCTACAACCCTGTGAGGTGGCTATGACTTTTACCAGCCAGGAAATGGAAGCAGAGGGAAACTAAATAACTTTAAGGTGATTTAACAGAGAAATGGCAGAGGGAGGAATCTGGCTCCAAATCTTTGTGGGCACTAAACCCAGTCCAGTTCCTCAGAGCACAGGAGGGAAGAGTCATACTTTCATGATTTTGCTGTATTGGTCCAGTGAGAAAGTCTTACACACCATGCTGTGGTTATGCAACTCGTGAGCTATAAAATCCTGTAGACTATTTTGAAAAATCAAAATGCGTGCTGCCTCTTATAGCAGCTCCTCTTCATGGTTTTATTTACAACTTTCATAACACAGATAATCTGTATTTTAGCTCTTTCAACAGGAAAGCATGCTTTGTCAACTACTGGTAACTATTTTGCTAATTTTTTTTTTTGTCTTTTTGAGAAAGGGTCTCACTATGTAGTCCAGGTGGGCCTTGAACTCACTCTGTACCCCAGGCTGGCCTCCAACTTACAGCAATCCTCCTGCCTCAGCCTCCCAAATGCTGGGATTACAGGTGTGAGCCACCTGTCCTTAATTTTGCTAATCTTAAATTCATCTTTTCCTAAAAAATATTTAACACTCGCAGGTGGGGCTGCACACCTGCGACCTCTGCACTCGGGAGGCCACGGCATAAAGACTGCTACAAGTTCAAGGTTGGCATGGGCTACACAGTGAGTTCAAGGTCTGCCTGAACTGCATTGTGAGACCCTGTCTCAAAAATGAAACAAATACATAAGCAAACAAAAAAATTCAATACTTCTGATCAGGTGCTTTTATGTCACTTTCACTTTCACATGAGATAATTCATTGCCCTACATCTCATGTGAAGTAAATACTATTATTTCTAACAAAAAAGTAAGAAAAATGAGAAGATAAATAGCTAAGGGGGAATTAAGCTTCAGAATACAACTCAGTTTCTCCAACCTTTCAGCTACTTTCACATATTAAGCCCCCTTATGAAATTAACAATATCCAAAAACAGGTTGAGCCAGGAATGTGCTTGCCTGGCAAGTGTGAGGTCATAAGTTCAATCCCTGGTGAAGACGAAGAGCATGATGAAGACAAAGAAGAAGAATCAAAAACAGGGTCAGATGTGGTGGTGCCTCCCTAAAATCCCAGCATGCGGGAGGCTGAGGCAGGAGGATCCCTGAGATTTTGAGGCCAGCCTTGGCCTTCCTAGTGAGTTCAGGGCAGCCTGAACTACAGAGCAGATCCTGTCTCAAAAAAGCAACAAACAAAATACCCAAAGGTGTCATTGCTGCACAGGAAGTTGGGCTCACCTCAGCAGATCTGAGAGAGTCACTGCTTCTCTCTGCCACAGTAAGGACAAGTAGCAGAGGGCGAGTGTCCTGGGTACCGTCATCTTCACGACACCTTTCTCCTTCCGCTCCGAGTACTCCACGCCATCCAGGGACCCGGAACAGACAGAGGCTGCTTCTATAGAACAGAGCGAGACCTTGAGAGACAAGATGCAAACAACTATGCTGCACAACAAAAGGGCACCACCGGAACAACTCTGCCACTTCACACATCTGAAGATTAAGCTACAACTCATCTTGGCCCCCTGAGCGCTTCGCCAGGGCACAGCCTGACCGGCGCCTGTGTGAGGGGCATGGGATGGAGTCCAAGAGAGAGATTTCAGGTTTTTAGCAGTGAACATGAACATTTTAATCTTATCGGGGTTTATTTTTGTTTGTTTGTTTGAGATAGGGTCTTGCTATGTAGTGCAGGCTGGTCTTAAACTCAGGGGTAGCCCAGGCTGTCCTCCAACTCCCAGTGCTTCTCCTGCCTCAGCCTCCTGAGTGCTGGGATGACAGTTGTGCATCACCATACCTGACCTCCTTATTTATTTTAAATTAAGGAATTGAACCAGAAAGCAGTTGCACAAATAAATAACATTTACTCAGCTTGCTTCAGTCTGTGTTTAGAAACTGGGTATATTATCTTCACCGCTCATCTATTTTAGGGAAGGACAGCTACAATGTTTTTTGCTGTAACTTTCTTTAACAAGTCTGAGCCCACACATAGGCAATTTTTTTGGAGCTAGCCTCCTCTCTGGACTCTTTAAAGATTTCTTTATTTCCCTATAAAGACTACACAAAAGACAATGTGAGTCAGGTATGTATGCTTGTAATCTCAGCATTCAGAGGCTGAGGCAGGAGGATTGCTTCAAGTTTGAGGCCAACCTGGGCTACAAAGTGAATGCAAGGCCAGCTTGAACCATACAGTGAAACCCTGTCTCAGAAAAGACAAAAAGAAGAAGAAGAAGAAGAAGAAGAGGAGGAGGAGGAGGAGGAGGAGGAGGAGGAGGACGACGACGACGAGGAGGAGGAGGAAGAGGAGGAGGAGGAAGAGGAGGAGGACAAATGATGTACCTTTCTGATTTTTTTGAGGCAGGGTCTCACTTTGCAGCCCAGGCTGGCCTTGAACCCAGTGATCCTCCTGCTTCAGCCTCCCAAGTGCTGGGATGACAGGCCCGCGTCACCACACCTGGCTGACGATGTGCTTTTTTGAATGTGAAGACTTCACTCAGGCCTCCCAGGCCCTAGCCTCTCCTCACCAGGCCCCGAGGGGTGCACTGAGTGACTGCTAGCCAAGCCGGGCTTTGATACCCCAGCACCCCGCTTCTCATCTTTACCTGAGTGCGGTGTTCTCAGGGCAGCAAAGGGCTTTGGCCCTGGGGCGTCGGATTGTGACTCTGCTCCACTGTCGAGGCCAGATGTCCAGTTTATGTCGCTGAGCAGCTCGGGCCCACTCACCCCATCTGAATGACAGACGTTTCCTTCCAACATCTGTTTGCAAAATACTGCCAGTAAAATTGCTGCACAGGGCTTAACATGGTCCCTGTCGGGGTGGTGGGGCGACTCCTGCTCATGACAAACACAGTGAGAAGAAATACTGCAGAGGACGGCAAGGGCCCATCAGGCCCTGCGTCTGAGGCCCTGCACTTCTGGGAGAAGGCACCATGCGCACCGCTGGCTCCTGCCTGCCTTTGGACCTGGCTAACACCAATCACTTGCATGAACTTTCCCTTCTCCAGATCTTTCCTCCCGCAATCGCGCTGTCTTTCTGACCCACTGGCCAATGATTTCCTGTGTGCCTGAGCTCTGGCAGCACTCGAGGTTTACAGCAGGTGCCCAGCAGGTTCACCAACTACCCTCTTTGCATCACCACCTCTGTGTACTCTAAAGGGTACACGGGGTGAGCACCCCTGCAAAGCCGGGGTCTCCTGGGCTGCTACAGCCTCCAGAGACTGATTGCAGTCAGAAGCCGAGATCCCAGCCTTGAGGGCCTAGAATCCGACCTTACTATAGGGACAGAAAACTTGCATGAGGAGCCTGTGAGAGAAGGAAGCTGGGAAGGCAGGGAATAGGTTCAAATGTGATGTCCTCTGTCCAGCACCCCGGCAGGTACTGACACACATCCAGCACCCAGCACCCTGAGGAGGCAGAGCTGGGAGCCCACAGCAGTCCTGAGCTCCTCGGTCTCCATCTCCACACTCATTACATATCTTGCAACCCGGCTTTTCAGACCTGTGCCTACCTCAGTCTTCCTTCTGCTGTAGACTGGGTTTGCACAATATGCCTGCTTACTCTTCTGCAGGTAACGCTTCCAAAAATTGTGTAACACTTCATCCTGAGGTGGAAGGGGGGTGATTCCGGTGATTCTGGTGTGTGCGAGCATGAGCGTGCGTGCACACACACGCGCGCGCGCACACACACACATACACAGCTGTGTCTGGATGGCAGACTCTCCTGTACCATCTGTAAGGCCTTTCACCTAAGTGCACTTGTACCCGCTTGTCCTTAAAAAGCTTCTCGTCACAGTGCCAGGTGGAGGGACAACATGCATAAACCCTCTTCCACCTTAGATCCCGGAGAAGAAGACATTAAAGATTCCCGAGCTGAGTCTTTTCCTTCTATATAGCAAGCAAATCAGAGGCCACAGGAAGAGAAGAGCTCACGTCTACACTCCTAGCATTATACGGCTCCCCAGCCTCACTCCCCAACAGCACCTCTACACCCCAACAGGCTCACCTTTAATTCTGGGGTCACTCCGAGGGCCTTCAGGGCTTCTGCTTGTTGACACAGTATATGCTGAAAGCCTTCGCACACGTACCAATCCCAGCCTTTCTCTAAGTGACAACGAGCCAAGTTTTAGACATTTGTGTCCAATCAGCTACCACACTACCATGTAATTCCAGTCTGTTTATGCACTGTGATTTGGATCCTCTGTATAAATCTGAAGAGTTTCTATGCTTATACTTCTTGTGTCCCCTCTAGCCAATTAGCAGACAAATGCTAACCACCTAAGCAGTTTGTACAATTTATCCGATTTTTAACATTTTACCTATAATTTTTCTGAAATATTCATTTAAGGGGCAAAAGAAAAGAAGAGCCGTCATGTTAAAAACACAAGTGAAATAAGTTGTAAAAATATGCATTTTGGCCAGGTGTGGTGGCACACGCCTATAATCCCAGCACTCAGGAGTGTGAGGTAAGAGGATCACTTCAAGTTCAAGGCCGCCTGGGCTACAAAATGAGCTCAACGCCAGCCTGAACTACATAGCAAAACTCTGTCTCAGAAAAAAGTAACTTTTACTGAACAATGCCTTGCAGAAGTATTAAGCAGCCACTGCTCCCCTGTTTTGCTATTCAACTCATACGGGAACAAGGCATGGTTGGCAAATGAGTGAATAAATGTCAGTGAGTGAGGTGACCGGGGGTTCCAGGGGCACAGAAAAGGGCAGTGGACTCCATGGAGCTGGATTCTCCCCCAGTCCGGGTCACAGTGAGAAGCTGCGAGCAAGGGAAACGACACTGATTTCTGCCCAGGTGCAGGAGCCTGGAAGTTATCCCCTGGCATCCTCCAAAAGCCCTAAGAGACTGGTTACACAGCAAGCCGCTGCCCCTTACATAGAGCTAACAGTAAATGACTCCTGCAACTGGCCAGAGAGAACAGCAGAGTTGGGCGGACCTGGGGGTCTCATCCCTCATTGCTAGACGAATACCATCACTCTGAACAGCAGGCAATCAAGGCTTTTCATACATGGTTTTTGGGGTCTGCTGCTGCCCCCAGCTCCCTCCTGCCTGTACTCACAGAAGACCCCAACTCCTGTCCTGCACCGAGATGTCTCAAGGTCTTCAGCACCATTGATGGAGCTGATTCCCATGTGGAAAGGATCCAGGCTGCGAAAGGCGGAGTCTATGATCCCAACCATCCAGAAATCAAGCCAGTGTAAACACATACACACATGGACACTCATGCACATGGTTCCTGTGTACTATTCTAGCAGTCCACATATGGATAAAGCTGTACTCCAAATTCTGAATTCCTATTTTATATAACAAGTAGTATTGCTGTTATCATCATATAGATCTAGAAACCAAGGATGCACATACTAAAGCACCTCAAGAGTTTTGGGGGTCATTCTTGATCTAAATCATAACATTCCTTAAGAATTTTAAGTATAAACTATACATTTTAAGGCTAGGCATGGTGCCGCACACCTGGAGTCCCAGCATTGGGCTAAGGCTATTGAGGCTCAGGCAAGAGGATCACCACACATTCGAGGCCAGCAGGGAGTACACAGTGATTTCAAGGCCAGCCTGAGCTAGTGAGACCCTGTCTCAAAATAAACAAACAAACAAACAAGCAAACAAATCCCAAAGAAATAAACTATACACTTTAATTATGTCAATCCATCAAGCCTGAATTCCTCAGGTTTTATTCTGAAAAAACTTAATGAACATTAATCAGGTCTTAGCCCAATAAAAAGTTATTATTAAAGCTTAAATAGGAACAGAGTTAGTATTTAGGTATTCTTTGTTCTTTATCTAAAAATGTCAATGTATGTCTCATAAATACATACTTGTATAGAAATGTACATATGTGTGTGTGTGTCCTCAGAGTCACCTCACATAGAGGAATCACCATTATCATTTCCTGGATTCACACTTCAGAATCTGGTCCTAAGGAGTTAGTCACAAAGTAGCAAACATCTCCAAGACTTTACCTGAGCCCCTTCTCGGTCACACTTAATTACAGGCGCTCACTGGATTAATGACATGATTGCCTCTCCAGGCACACCCATGGCGATTTTAAGAGAGAATAATCTTCCCTATTTTAAAAGGGTGTGTCACAGTTCAGTGTGAGACATGGGACTTGGAAAACTGATACCATGCTTCACTGGCCTTACCTAACATCTTACTGCTGAATCATTTCAAAACGGAAGCGTTTTCCTTTAAAAGCACAGAAAACTTTACCCATAATCAATAGCTACGAAGGACAGGAGACTATGCCAGGGCATAAAAAGAACAAATGCTCCTTTTGGTTTTATCAGCATCTGCATCATAGCTGCTCCACTGGAAATTCGAGTCACTGACAAAAACAGCAGGGTAAGAAAGAAAAGGACACATGTAGATACATTCATGTGCAATCTACCATCCCGAGCTACCAACTTTAACTCTGTTTTGGATAAACCATACCTGCTTTAAAATCTGGCATTTTCTCTAGAATCGACGTAAAATTCCATTTTCTGTCCCCAAGTCATCACAGTGAAAGACATTAATAAAGACATTCAATGCTTATGAACAAAGAGCTCACCCAACTTGCTTCTCCTTTTGAGGCCCCTGCTGATGGATTTTATCTTGGTGTTAGGAATAACATCAGTGTTGGTAACTTCCTTAGATCTCTGTAGGAAACCAAAGTAGATGTTAAGGTAGCTTTCCATCCCCCTAAGTAATGTTTCCAAAGACGCTCTGGTCAGTGTGAAGAACTGAAGTGGGCGAGCTAAGACTAAGGCTGGTAGCATCTCGGGGAGATGTTAAACCTCCCATTCTGGTGCATCTTTGGTTGCCTTTTTTTTTAGTACTGGGGATTGAACTCATGACCTTGTGCTTGCCAGGCAGGAACTTATGCCGCTGAGCTAAATCCCCAGCCCTTTTGGTTGCTTTTTATTCAGAATCTCTCAGTTCCTAAAATAGTACCTAAACAAAGTAATCATCACTAAGTATCTGCTAAACGAATAAACTTTTAAGGCTTTCGCACACCAACCCAAAAGTCAAACTGACTCAATTTTGTCTCTATGCAAAACACACTTTAGTATTAAAACGATGCATGTTTACTATAACTGCTGCTGTCTGACCTACGTGCAATTTAGTTTTGATCTCCTTTCCCATGTCTGAATGTTACTCTAAAACTGAAATTAGAAAAGTATCACTATTTTTAACGTGACTTACATAAGTTTGGGATGATTAAATAGGATAATTCATACCAAAGCCTTCAATTCTGATTGTTCATTCTCAATCTGACTTGCAAATTCCTAACTTAAACATCACCTGAAGACAACTAATTGTTGGAATTTAGGTTTTGTACGAGATAAAAATACGCTCACTGTGAACTAAGCAGTAGCCCAGCCTTCTGCTGAAAATTTTAAAATATAAGAAAATGTAAAACTGCCCCCCCCATTACTTACTTCTGTAACATTGTGGCAGGAAGTACAGTAATATTTGCCTTCATCAGTGAGACCCCAAGAGACAGCAGCACACTGAGCGCAGCGTTCTTTTAACTCTTTCTATAGAAAAAGATAGCAAAAGTGTTTTCATTAAACCATAATCCTAATGCTTGCAGTTCTTAGTTCTATGTGAAAAGTTCTTGGGAATTTTATACTATACATAAAAAAATCCCAAGAAAACCGAGCAGAGACATATTTATCTGCAAACAAGAAACATCCAGTCTCTTGTGCAGTGTGAAACTGAATTAAGCTATTAGAGAAAATGTACCAAATATGCAAAGTATGAGAGGAGAACAGAGAGATGAAAAATGATAAGGGTAAATAAAGATGAGAATATAAAACTCCTTGTAAGTGTAAGGAAAAAAAAGACAAGAAGTATACAGACTTTATTTTTATTTCTTTAGGTTTTTTGAGGCAGGATCTTGTTATGTGGCCCAGGCTGGCCTTGAACTTGGGTAATCCTCTTTTCTCAGCCTCCTGAGTGCTGGGATTACAGGTGTGCATCACCACACTTTAAAATTAAATGGCCATCATGAACTTCTGGTAGGATGACCAAAAACATATATGCTTCCTCCAATGAAATTAATTTTTAAAAATTAATTATATTGGTACACTTTTGACATATACAATAATCACAATCATCATAGGGAATTTGTACCTGTATGTAACATATCTTATCCCCACCATTCCTCCCCATCCCCTCTCCCTTTACACAACTTTATTTCCATTTTTACTGTTTTCCGTCCATTTTTTTAAGGAACTAGTTTTTATTAAGATTATTTCAAGCTCATTTATTTATTCAGAAGTAAAAAGTGTGTCAGCTGTGTGTGTAGTATGCATTTTACTAGGTTCTGGAGATTCAAAGGTGAACAAAACAGACATGGGATCCACTCACAGCATAAATGCTACGTAATTATTAATTGCTTGGTCTTTTTCTTTGTTTATCTTTTTGAGACAGAGTCTCACTATGTATTCTAGGCTAACCTGGAACTCACTGTGTGGCCCAGGCTGGCCTCTAATAGAGTCCTGTCCTCCTGCTTCAGCCTCCAAGTGCTGGGATTACAGGTGTGTGCCGCCATGCCCTGCTAATTATTAATTTCATATTTAGTATTTAGACATTAGTCGTTCACTACTGAATTAACCTGTACCAAGCAGCTCCTACCAGCTTTCCATACCCGTCTTGTTCTACACACACAGAGGCCTAATTATCCGACTTCCATGTCTCTGGTTTGACTTCCTGTTCCCACTTAATTACCGAACACTCAGTCTCATCGAAGAAGGTCGCATTTTACGCCGCACGTCAAATGGCCTGTCAGATTTATTCTGATAATTTTGTAAAATTTCGAATGACCCCTTACTGATAACGCTAATGTTAACGTGGACATCTCAGGTTCTCCCCAAGCCCAAGTTTAGGAATCTCCGCGCAAGAGGCGGCCAAGATTCCCAGAGAGACGCAGGGATGCCCTGGGGCCATCTGGGTTCATGCCCGGGTCCCCCACATCAAAGGTTGCTTGTGTCGTGGGTGGTCCCGCGGAGAAGGGCGAGCCACGTGGGTGGCCACCCACTAACCCACAGCTCCGCCCTCCGTCACGGCAACCTCGCCGAGCCAGAAACTCCAGCGTCCTTCCCCGAGCCGCTCTCCTCCCGCCGCTGGCCGCCCCCAGCCCGCCAGCGTCCTTCTTACCGCGTCCTCCAGCTCCATCCCACAGGCACCAAGAGGACGCCCCGGTCCGTTACCCGGGTAGCGGAAGTCGCTTCCGGGAGAGCCGGAGGAGACCTCCCGCCGGAAACTGCAACCCTGGAATTTGGGTTCCGGCCTCCTGCGGCTGCAGGGACCCATCCGCTTGCTCCCTAGCAAGACTGCGCAGGTCCTGCATACCTACTCCGACCCCTTTAGGGCTGCTTTCTTGGTCTTGGTAACTAAAAGCGACCCAATCCACCACTGGGCGGTGTCCAGGGCGGAGCGATTCCTATGCAGTGTTCCTGTGGTGGCTCACTGGAAGACCCACGTGCTTAGCCACTGGAGAGGCCGTGGAGCGCCGGCTCCCCACTGCGGAGTCGGACCTCGGTCAGGTCGCTCTGCACAGGTTTTTTCCTTGGTACTGGGGATTGAGCCCAAGGCCTTTGCACTGAGCTACATCCTCATGTTTCAATTTTATTTTGAAACCGAGCTCCCTAAGTCATTAACACACCCAACCTCGCTCTGTGCTGGGTTCACACTTGTGATCCCCCTGCCTCAGTCTCCCAGATTACTGGCATTATGGATGGGGGCGTGCACTACCCCGTCCTGCTTGTTACTGAATTTTTTTTTTTTTCTTACTAAATTCTTAAAGGCGAGACCTAGAGGTTTTAGGAAACAGCACAGGTTGGATTAAAATTAGGTTTCTAATCAGTATTTTCCTGTTTATTGTGCCCTGATTTCCCCCTCTATAAAAAGTAAATACTACTTGTCCTTTCTTGTTAAGCTTTGCGGAATGAGGCTCAATAAAGTTAGCCGTTGACAAACTACAGAATAGGTTTTGTTGTTGTCACTTGTTTTGTTTTGGTTTGGTTTTTTGCCAGCTACTCCTTGGATACAAGACCAATACCTGAAATACACAAAGACATTAAAAAAAAGAGACCTTCCCCCCCAAAAAGACTTGATCAAAAATGGGCAATTGAATAGACGTTTCTCAGAAGTACAATAGGCAATAAATATATGAAATAATATTCAACATCATAGGTCATTAGGGAAACGCAAATTAAAACAACACTGAGATTCCATCTTAGTCCAGAAACAATGGCTCTTATCAAGAAATAAAATAATAACAAATGGCGGTGAGGCTACAGGAGAGAAGAAGCCCTTCCACACTGTGGGTGGGAGTTTAAACCAGGGCAATCACTGTGGAAATCAGTATGTAGATGGCTCAAAAACAAACAACCCTGAAACTAGAAATTCCCTTCAACCCAGTTATTCTCCTTTTAGGTTTCTTTCTGAAAGAGGTAAAGACATGGTATACAGTTATCTGTGCACACCCATGTTTATAACAGCACAATTAATAATAGTTAAATCTTGGTGGCAGCCTGTTTGCCCGTAAGTAGATGAATGGATAAAGAAAATGTGGAGTTTACACACAATGGAGTACTATTCTGCCATAAAGAAGGATAAATTTGAGTCATTGGTAGAAAAGGGGACGCATTTTGAGAGCATGATGTTAAGTGATGTAAGTCAGATAGTCAAGCACAAATATCACAAGATTTCTATTATATGAAGAAACCAAAGTATAAAAATTTTGAATAAAAGAAAAGATAGGTCATAGGAAATAGAGAAACAGATCCTCTGTAAGTGGGAAGGGGAACCAAAATGGAAGAGGGAGGAAGGGAAGGTAAAAGAAAGTAAAAAAAATTAAGATTTTTTCTGTGCATACAAACAGCCCAGGATGAATGCGATCACTATGTACTGCAGATGTGTGCTAATATACATGAAGATAAATCTAGCTCTAGTTTCATTGCTGGACACACATACTCTTTGTTTTCTTTGTTAAAGAGGAAGTGGTTTTAGTCCTGGAGATTCAACAGGGAATGGAATAAAATGCACAACTCTGCCTTTGAAGGGATTCAACTGGATAACAACAGCAAGGGATGATAAATCAGGAGAATATATGGTGTGTTAAATGGTGCTGAATGCCAAGGGAAAAATGTGGGAGAAAAGGAGGGAGAAGAGGTGTTTCAAATTGAAGCAGGCAGTCAAGAAAGGTCTTACCGTGGCGCATGCCTGTCATCCCAGAGCTAGGTTGGGGCAGGAGGATCGACACAGGTTTGAGGCCAGCCTGGGCTATGTAGTGAGTTCTAGGCCAGCTTGGATCACATAGTGAGACCCAGTCTGTTATGGTTGGTATCTGGATGTCCCCCAAAGCCTCATGCAGTAATGAGGACAGGCTTCTAGAATTTGTGATCACTTCATGGTCCAATGCTGGGATTGGGGGTGTGAGTGCTGCACCTGCTCTAGGGTGGGTGTGGTCTATACACCATACAAGGGAGGGAAGGCTTCTCACACTTTCCTCTCTTTCTGCTCTTGTTGCTTTTGCTGTTTTCTGCCATCATGAACTGTTGCCCTCAGCCATGCCACCCTCTCTTATAGCCTGCAGATTATGGACTGAAATCTCCACAAACTGTGAGCTAAATAAACCTTTTCTTCCTTTATTTTGGGATGTCAGGTATTTTGTCTCAACAACAAAAGAAAAAAACTAACATACTTTTCAAACAACAAACAGACAAACAAACAAGAAAGGTCTCACTGAGCATGGATCTTTGACATGGGCATATACTGCAAGAAGTCTGGGAAAATTTAAACTTAATGGGAAGAAAGAAAAAGCTGAGGTAAATTAATAAAAGGGAAAATAAACATTCAGTAGACAAACTCCACAAAATATTCACCCTTTTAAAAATGAATTCAATAAATTTGGAAAGATTAATTTCAAAAAGCACCATTAAACAATAGCAGAAAAATAAAAGTGGCATCACTTTAAATATCACAGAGCATATGAGAATATTATAAACCATGCTATGCCAATGAATTTGAAAATTTGGAAGAACTGGACATATTCCTAGAAAAACACAATTATCCAAAGACATTTAAGGAGAAATAAAAAAAATCTTAACAATTCCATAGCTATTCACAAAACTGGGGGCTGAGGCTATAGCTCAGTGGTAAGGCACTTGCCTAGCATGTATAAGGCCCTGAGTTCAATTGTCAGTACACACACACACACACACACACACACACACACACACACACACGCATGATTTTCCCCACTGTAGGGGGCACGTGCCTGTAATCTTAGCACTAAAGAGGCTGAGGCAACAGGATTACTGTGAGTTCAAGACCAGCCTGAACTGCATCATAAGACTCTGTCTCAGGACAGAGTGAGAGAGAGAGAGAGAGAGAGAGAGAGAGAGAGAGAGAGAGAGAGAGAATTGATTACATAAATTTAAAAATTCTGAAAAGAAAATGTCAGTTTTGCCTATGGTGGTAGCAAACAACTACAATCCCAGGCAGGGAGGCTGAGGTAGGAGGATCATTGCTTAAATTCAGGAGATGGAAAGCAACTCTCAAAAAATTTTTTTCAAATCCATTTTATTTAAGGATAAAAACAAAGAAAAGAAGCAGGAGGAAGAAGAGAAACTTCAACAAAATTTCAAAACACATCAATCAGGGAAAATGTTTTAAATTAAATTTTTAAAAACGTGGGGCTGGGGATTTAGCTCAGCGGCATAAGCGCCTGCATTGCAAGCAGGCAGTCGTGGGTTCAATCCCTGGTACCGATAAAAAGGAAAAAGACAAAAAAAAAAAAAAAAAAGAATATTTAAGTGGAATGTTTGGTGTTTTTTTTTTTTAATTGGTACCAGGGATTGAACTCAGGACTGCCTGCTTGCAAGGCAGGCGCTTATGCCGCTGAGCTAAATCCCCAGCCCCTAAGTGGAATGTTTCAATAAGGTAATGCTACATCACAACCATGCTTGATTTATTCCAGGAATGCAAGGTTAGTTTAACATTTAAAAGATAAATGCAGAGTCATCTAGTGTGATGCAAGGAGAGAACTAAAGACCAACAGAACTGAGTAGAAACCTCAGAAATTGACTCATAGATGTAGATAAGATAAACTAATTTTCAATAAAATGCTACTAAAATTCAGTGGTGAAAGGATGCTTTTTCAATAAATGGCTCTGAATCAAGTGATCACCTATACAAAAAATTCAACTCTTGTTACAAAAGTTAATTCAAGTAGAGTATAGTCTTACACTTAATAGGTCGAACCACAAAGATAGAAAAAGAAGAGGTAAATGTCTGTATGCCTTGGTGTGGAATAGATCTTATAAAGAAGACATGAAAAATGCTAATTCAAAAGAGAAGATCATTAAATTGGACTTCATTACAATAAAGAACTTCAGTTTATCAAAAGGCATTATGAGGTAAATTAGATGGAGAGAAGGTATCTACCCTATTAGGTGAGATTTAAAAATCTGAGTAATGTTTATTACAAGGGCCAGGGATTTAGCTCAGCAGCCCAAGTGCTTACCTGGCAAATGTGAGATCATGAGTTCAATCCCCAGATCTAAAAAAATTTTTAAAAATTTATTGCAGTAAAAGATACATAACCATTGAGCTGGGCATGGTGGCTCATGCCTGTAATCCCAGCACTCGGGAGGCTGAGGCAGGATGATTGTTGTGAGCCGGAGACCAGCTGGGCTACAAAGTGAGCTCAAGGCCAGCCTGAACTGCATAGCGAGACCCCGTCTCACAAAGACAAAATAAATAAATAAATAGAGATAAATAACCATTAATTCCCTTCAAAACACTTCCATTATTTCTAATACACTCATCCCACCATCCTTGCCCCTTTCTGCAGCAGCTCTGGAGTCTTCTTTCCTGAGGGTCTTTAGCTGCACTGTCCTGGCTGCCTCCTTGTCCTTTAAAATGTTTCTCTTTTATGGTCATTTTGATTTTAAGAGCGAATTGGAAATCGCACAGGGCCACACTGGATGACTAAGGAGGATGAGGACACAGCATCGTGTATTATAAGCCTGCCTTTCTGCTGGGCGGTGCTCAGCAGCAGCATTCACTGTATTTGAGTGTGTATTTTTGAAACAGGGCTTCGCTGTGCAGTTCAGACTGACCTTGAACTCACCCTGTAGCCCAGGCTGGCCTCAAACTTGTAGCAATCCTCCTGCCTCAGCCTCCCTAGTGTTGGGGTTACAAGTATGCACTACCACGCCTGGTTTTCACTGTATTTTTTTTTTAAATCTCACTTTCTAGACAGTGAGGAAAGAGGAGTTTAGAACTATTACAGAAAGTAGCAAGGACCATGGGATGAG